TACGTTTTGCAGAGTCTGAAGAGTATCAGGTCAACATTATTCATCTTGGGTTAAGGCTCCAAATCTGGACTAATCCAGATCCATGAGAGGAGAAAGGGAAAAAGTMGAGGGAAACAAATACTCTAAGTCGCTCTGGTGAGATGTGGACCAGTAGASGACACACCAGGCCGCCAGGCTGAGCCAGGGTAGGATCCCATGCTCCCTGCCACGGCTACCCACCCTATACGTGACCTTGGTTTTCAGGTGCACACCGTCCACGTGGGTGTCACACCGGCGCCGGGTGGCCTGGGGAACGTCACCAAACATCTCTGACGGGATCCCTATAGCAGCAGCAGCAGCAGCAGCAGCAGCAGCAGCAGCAGCAGCAGCAGCAGCAGTAGCAGCAGCGCGACCGCTTGGGGTGGGCGTCACCAAGCCATGGCCACCCTTTTCCCCGGGACAAAACCGCGGAGGAACCTCGGAGGGGAAGCCCTCGGGGTACCGGTGCGAAGTCCAGAGTCCCGGAAACCCCGAGGCAAGGAGGGGCGGGGAGGAATTAATCCATTTCTCCAGAGTTGCGCAAGAGCCCGGGCTGGCGGCTGGGGGTGGGACCACCAGGGCGGGCGTCCCAGCCAGAGTCCCGCGCTCACACCCACCCTGCGGCGTCCGAATCAAAAGTGAAAGGAGCCTGATCGACCCTGGAAAGGCGTCGGGGGGAGGTGGCCGCCTGTCTCCTAATCGCCGGGGCCCAGCAGCCGCTTTGTGACTTCACGCGTTTCGCAACAAGCCCGGGCCACCCGCGCCCCACCCACCCCGGCCCGGCGGCCTTGCAGCCTGCCACCTCTCTTGGCTCTTCGCGCTTCTCTCCCTCCCCGGCCTGCCCAGGCCTTCCCGGAGCCTCGGGTYCCGCCACGAGTCGCATTCCGAGACGTGGCCGCCGTCTAGCTGACTGGCAAGTGCGCGGCCGCCTCCTCCACGCAGCCCGGAGCAACCCGGCGTCCTGCCCCGCTGAGCGCTGCGCCCCCTCSGCGGCCGCGCCGCGATGCTGTGCTTTCTGAAGGGGATGGCCTTCGTCCCCTTCCTCCTGGTGACCTGGTCGTCCGCCGCCTTCATCATCTCCTACGTGGTGGCTGTGCTCTCCGGGCACGTCAACCCCTTTCTCCCCTACATCAGGTGAGGAGCAGGGTGGACGACAGCSGTCAGGGAGCAGACAGAGGGACCCCAGGGCAGCGCTGCGGGTGGGGAGGGAAGACGGCCAGTCCACACCCAGCTGGGGGCATCTTGAGGTCGATGTGAACCAGAAGGTGGCAACTCCKCAATGCCTAGGGAGGCAGGGGTGCTGCGCTGAGCGGTCTGCGTGTACCCTGAGCACTGAACACAGAGGCATCAGGATGGGGGTTCAGGACCCAACAGACCRTAGAACTTTTAGTCGGGGTATGGAGCGGAATTGTGATAAAAGGCTTCTCTGGTGAGACTGAAAGAAAGATAGGTCTTGACTGATGTCCTTTATTTTAAAAGGTAGATCCAGGTGTGTGCTAAGCAGCACACGTATTTCTCTTCTGCTTGCGGATATCTCTCGAAATGGATGTCTAGCCTCCTTTTCCATGCCCCTCCCCCTAAAAACTGGAGGTTTAAATAGATAATGAAACATCAGTATGACACTGATGTCAATCCGTGCTCATAAATGATAGAAGAAACAATTCACATCCAGATCCGTGCCCTGCCCACAGCCACAAGATGCTGACTCCAGATCCCTGGGAGTCTGGYTTAAGTTCCCTTGGGAATTTAAGCCTAACTCTGGTTTAAGACTCCTAGACACTGGACAACCAAAGTTAAAGCCCGCAAATTGTCAACTCTTAACATCGCTTGCATTATTTTGCCATTTTATTTTTCCTGTATTTTGGCTTCCACCTTTCCTGAGGATCAGTGCCAGGGAC